ATCATTTAATTTACTCATCGGCCATTGCAGAGGGGTAGAGGAGAGGTTGGGTGGGGGTTTGGAAATGGGGCTAATTTGGGGGGGAAGGAGGTTAACTCGACCTTGATCCCACTGAAACCTTACTAACCTGCCCATTCCCTCTGCTTGGTAGGCACTGGCCTGCTCTATGTCTCCTGCCCTGCCCTCCCCATCATCAGCGGTGGGGTCTTCAACCTTTCTGTCCCCACCCTCTGAACTCTGTCTCGGAGCCCCCCTGCCTCGCCCCCTCCCTTTCCTCCTTCAAAGCCAACTCAAGACCACGCTTTCAGTCACCTTCCTGTTTGTGGGACATTGCGGTGTGCAAATTGGCTGCCACATTCACCCACAAATACACAGTTTACAGTTAAATCCAATGCAGCGCATTATGACACCATCTTGATGTGAAAGGTGGTGCGTCAAATGGAAGGATTGTTTAGTTAATTGTGTTAAGCGTAACTTGTATCATCTTCTGATTATTCTCTTCAACATCATACGGTGTAATGCGGTGCAAAGAAAGACAGATCATTGGTTCTGAGAAAGAGAGTCTGTGAGCTTCGGAAAGATGAGATCAAATCAGTGAAGTCCCACACTGGTAGTGGTTAGAGCACTCGCCTGGAAAGCGAGAACACCCAGGTTCGATTCCCAGGCAAGGCAAAACCTTAGGCAAGTTTGCTTACTCCACATACCTCTGTTTACCTAGCAGTGAGTGGGAACCCAGTTGTTAGCCAATTGGCGTATTACTTTCCGGGGATAATAATCCACTTGACAATGTATTCTGGGAAGTGGTTTGAGACGTCTCAACAACTTGATAAGGCGCTATATCAAATGCAAGGAATGTTATTTTTATTATTGTAAATGGGTCTTCTTTACATGAACCTCTCCTGTGATCTTGTGAATCTTAAAAAAAAAGCATGTTAACAAAGCGAGGTGGGTTCACAGTTGGTCAGATTTATCCCCTTGCTGTATGTACTTTGGCTGCTGGTTATGCCTACAGATTCCCTGTAATGCACTTTGAGACATTTTGCTGTAATAGGCACTGTATCAAATGTAAGGATTATTATTTTTACATAATATTATGTGGTTAAAGCAAGCTGGAGAATAAGGAATGATGGACGGGCTGTGACTATTACATGTGGCAGTAGATGGATTGTGAGCATTAAAGGGCAGGGGTCACTTCTTTTAAAATGCTTTTAGATATGTGGCATAACAATATGCCGGGTAGTCAGAGGCGCTGTAACAAAGAGTGATGTCTCACAACATTGGCCTTTGTGGTTGCTGAGAGCATAGAAAGACTTGAAACAATTTTGACGAGAAAATGCAAGACTTCTTTGCAGTCGAAGCACCCAGCACCTGTGGAGCAGTAAGTGGTGCCCATCTTTGTGGTGCTACAAGGGATAGAGTTCTTGAGGTGGAAAATCCAAGCGAGAAGCAATGTGTAGAGCCCTCTACACGCCTCTGCTTACCTGGCAGTAAGTAGAAATCTGATCGTTAGTCGATTGGCGGATCGCTTTCCGGGGGTAATAGTCTCATCAAAAATAATTAATAGTAATAATTTGGTCACTCAATCCATGACTGTCTTTGGGACACTGCTGTGCGCAATTGGCTGCTGCGTTTCACCCACAAAGTACACATTCAATTCACTTTACAGTATATTCTGTGAAGTGCTTTGAGACGTCTCAACAATTTTGGGGGCAATACCCGGGAGCCCATTGCGCACAGTAATGTCCCACAAACAGTACAGTCGTGAAGTGAATGACCAAATTTGTTATTTTTTAAACATTAGGGAGAGGGGATTATTACTCCCGGAAAACGTTCGGCCAATCGACCAATGGGTCCTCTCGCTTGCGAGGTGAGCGCAATACGGGACTGCATGGGTTCAAGCCATTACACAAAAAATATTCAACACGCGGCCTCAAAAACAAAGTTGAACAAGAGAATAACTTTTACTGAGCTGCCCGTCAAATGCCTCTGAGATGTTTTACAGTACTTAATGGACTTCCTGTAACAAATTCAATCCGCTGGGGAACAGGGAGGCAACGGAGCCCTGGGGAAGGAATCCCACTTGAGTCTAAGCATGCCCTAGTTTCTTGATATTTGAGAACTCGCAAAATTTGCCACATTCTAAAAATGACCATCTTCATTGTGAAACCATTTTCCTGTAGGATGTTTTTTTAAGGACCACAGAAAACCAGCTCCAAAATTAAGACTGAATTTAAGAACTTGTCACCTGCTCAAATAGAGAAATAGGGCAAAGTTAGACCCAGGCAGAAGTTCAAGCCCCAGCTGGTGAGTAGGGCACATATGGGCTGGTGGAGAATGGTGTTCACATTGAGCGTCTAAGATGCAGGTTGGGGAAAGGCCTGTGCAGGGGGGGAACTTTCATGTGATCCAAACCAATGCAAAGGATGATAGAATCAATAGGGTTTAATTGCCTCTGATGCTCTTGAGCTGGAGCAGAGATCTCAGGGTTTGATGTGGAGTGCACGCTTTACTTACCTGCACAACTCGGTTTCTCCTGGTGTCCTGGCCAATAATCCTCAATATACAATTGGTCACTTACCACATTCTGTTTGTGGCAAATTGAGCAACCTATGAAATGCATGGTCACTACACTTCACTTTATGTCCTGCAAAGCGCTTTGAGACATCCTCCAGATATAAGGCAAGGATTATTTTAATATTTGTCCTCAAACGTGCTTGTCGTATTTATACTGTATATTTTGTTTAGCTCATTCAAGCCGTTTCTCAAGCTTGATTCCCTGGGTCCTTACAAACCAGAGTCTGACAATTCCTCAGTCCTTGGGATGACTGAACAGGTTAGAAGAAGTGTGGTGACCCGAGTGCATGCACAGACAATTGGAAGGGGTGGGGGGGAAGGTCAAAATCACTAGTTAACTGCACCTTGAGCTGTGTGTGAGACAGTCAAGTCCCCTAGGCCCTCTGAATGGGTTTATTTTTAATCTGTTCAAAAAATTAATTCAGCAACAAATTAGGTAAAATTAATTGGATGAAGAGGTGAAAACTGGAGTTAACTGCATTCCTTTGTGGCTTGGTATCGGTGCAGCTGGAGCGAGTGTGAATGCTAATTAGACCATTTTGAATGGCGTGCTCTGGTGGCACTGTTGGAAACCCGGTCTGTGTCTCGGCCGCCTCTCAGCTGATACTTGATCTTCTCATTGTTTTACATTTCATTTACGTAGTCGTGTAGTTGTATCGGTTAGAGCACTCGCCTCGGAAATGAGAGGACCCGGATTTGATTCCTGGGCAGAGCGAAACCTTAGGCTTTACTCCACACCCCTCTGTTTACCTAGCAGTAAGTAGGAATCTAGTTGTTAGTTGATTGAAGGGGAGTCGCTTTCTGGGGGTAATAATCCCTTCAAAATAAATAAATTTGGCCACTCAATCCATAACTGTTTGTGGGACACTGCTGTGTGCAAATTGGCTGCCACGTTTTGCCCACAAAATATACAGTCAATTCACTTTACAGAAACAACAACTTGCATTTATACAGCGCCCTTCTCCAGGATTGGATCCCGGAGAACTTGAAATTACAATATAATCTGAATTACAATATATTCTGTGAAGCACTTTGGGACGTCTGAACGATATGATAAGGCGCTGTATCAAATGCAAGAATTATTATCATTAATAATTTTATTAGAACTGCATTGGAATTCGGCTACACTGCTGCATATTAAAACTCAGCGCAACATAAAGATAATGTCTGAGAAACCCTCTGGGGAAATAGACTCAAACATCTGCCCCCTCCCCTACCTCAAATCACACACCAGAATTGGAAGCAGGTGAACATCCAGGCCAGAGGAGGAGACTAGTCTGTGCCAGAGTTTATCATTTATACTTCATTGCTACGCCGCGATTGCTCAATAACAGATGCTGCTCCATTGAAGGTTGGACTCAGTCCAGCAGGAGCCTAGTCGAGAGCGAAAGGAGTATAGGGATCCCACTTCTGCTGCTGGAGATGTGTCAGCCTGGCTTGGTCGGTAGCACTCTCGCTTATGGGTCAGAAGGTTGTGGGTTCACTTTGAGCTACTAGTGGAGTGTTGGGGGAACACTGCATTGTCAGAGGGCCATCATTCAGTTAGGACATTAAACTGTGGTCCCATCTGTCTGTCTGAGTGCCTCTGTCTGGGCGGGCGGGCAGTGGTTAAGTAATCCTATTGGAAAAGAGAAAGGAGTCTCTCCTGACATCCTTAGCCAACAATCCTTTAGTTAAAATGTTATTCACTTCACAGCTATTTGTGGTACATTGCTGTGCACAAATTGGCTGTCAGGTTTACCTACAAAATACACAGCCGCTGCACTTAACAGTAATTACTCTGAAGCACTTTGAGACATTTCAGTGTCATAAGATTCTTATTTTGTATTCTTATTCAAACTGCAAATGGGATGATAATAATGCACTGAGTTGCACACCGTGATCATTAGGTGCCTCTAAGTGCTTTGTTCCATGGATTTCAACCACAGCTTAACTGTAACAGAACCTTTCTACCGGTTATGTCAGTTTCTATTCCTCCCCAAAGCCAGCTTGACTCATCAGCAGGACTTGGACGGGTAGAACAGTCACTGGGGGCAGGGAATCCTCCCACTCAGCTCCTGTTAACCCTGCAAGCCAAAATCGTAACGGGTAGGGTGGTCCTAGCTGGACAAGCAGCGATATCAATGGCAAGCTATGTTGTTTTAACTGGTTATTTTACTCCAGCAGTACCCCAACGCACACACTGGGCTCTTGCCAGCCCACAGCTAATGCTGTGGAACTAGGTAAGCAGATTGCGTCTCTCCAGGCAGGGAGTGTGCATCTCATTCCAAGACACTATCTCTGGAATTTCCATGTGGAGGTGGGATGCATGGAATTCTTAGTTTGGTTTAGAGACTCTTAAACTTAGTTTGGTTTAGAGACTCTTTCACATGTGTCAGACACCCGGTTGCTTTCTTTTCACGCTCGCAATGTTCTTTTGTTGTCAGAGAGTTTGGACGATGGAAGGTGACGAACCTAGCAGTGGAGAGGAGAGACTTTATGGATTCGGGTTTGTCTCTAGCTCCAGATTTCATCAGAAATATCCGTTCCCTGGGACGGAGACCAAGTCTGCAGCAGATCACAGAGAACCTGATCAAGAAATATGGCACGCATTTCTTACTGACCGGAACGCTGGGAGGTAACTTACGCACCGGAGCATTAGTTTATCGTACTTTTATTTCCGTGGTTTGGAAAGTTCCCTTCCTATTTTACACTTTATTAGCACATTGTGGAGTCCTGTAGCTCAGTGGTTGGAGCACTCGCCTTCCAAGTGAGACACCTGGGTTCAATTCCAGGCAGGGCGAAACCTTGGGCAAGTTTCCTTACTCCACACGCCTAATAATAATCCCTCCAAAACAAAACAATAATAAATTGGTCATTTTCAATCCACGACTGTTCTTGGGACTCTGCTGTGGGCAATTGGCTACTGCGTTTCGACCACAAATATACAGTCAATTCACTTCACAGTCTATTCTGTGATGCACTTTGAGACGTCGAGAAGATGTGAAAAGCCCTATATCAAATGCAAGGATTATTATTATCATCATCCTCTGGAGCACTTTAATACAGGTTATTACTCCAGTAAATATTCCTCCTCCTCTGTGCTTTATTACTCCAGTAAATATATCCCTGCTCTGTGGTTGATCACTCCAGTAAATATCCCCTCCTCCATGGTTTATTACTCCAATGTTTCCCCTTGCAATGCAGTGATCCATTAGTCAATGAGGCTGTCTGGTCACTCAATCTCAACTGGAGTCCCAGTGGTAGCATAGTGGTTAGCTCGCTGGCCTCACAATCGAGAGGACCCGGGTTTGATTCCCAGGCGGGGCATAACCTAAGGCAAGTTTCCTTATTCCACGTACCTCTGTTTACCTAGGAATAACTAGGAACCCAGTTGTTAGTCAATTGGCAGATCGCTAACAGTTGTCAATAATCCCTCAAAAAAAATCCCTCAAATGCAAGAATTATTATATTATTATTATCTAAAAAGCCATAGCTTGACCCTAGTCCTCAGTTACTGCATTGTGAAATACTACTTCAGTGCATTACTGAAGGTTAGATATCTCCCAGTACTGGACCAGTAGCACATGGTAAGTTTACATGTAAATTCTTGTATATCACATATGGATATACATCTTTTGTTATTTAGTGTATTGTACTGTGAAATCAATTTTCCTGCTCTATACCTTATCCCGCTGGGAAATCTACCTTCATGCTGTGCAATATATCTCACTAGGCAATAAACTCTACCTGTAACTTATTACGTTAACAAGTGTACGCTCCGACCATAAAGTATATTACGTTGGGAAACTCAATCTCCTTTGCAGCACATTCTGTAGCTGAGGGTATCTTTAGCTATGACTTGAGTGGTCTGTAGGTCATACAATCCTGCACTTGGCGCTCGCTCCTGTCTCTGCTATTATTGACTGTTACTTATTCCTTGGTTTCAGATCGGAATTGATGTTTGTGGAGATTTAGTCATAAGCCCAGGTGACAGTGTTGGTGTTATTCGAGGAACACTGCGAGTTAAACTCACATTAGTGCATCAGTTTATTAGTATTTACTTCTGGCTCAGCACCACTCACATAAACAATACCCCCATGACTGGAGACTCTATTTACCTAACTGCACCTGGGAGAACCAATATGCAAGGTGGGGAATCGAAAGCAAGGGGTCAAAAATCTTAAAATTAGAGCCAGACCATTTAGGAGTGAAATCAGGAAGCATTTTTTCACGCAAAGGGTAGTGGAAATCTGGAACTCTCTCCCCCAAAAGGCTGTGGATGCTGAATCCACTCAAATTTTTAAGACGGAGATTTATGTGAGGTAAGGGTATCAGGGATGTCGAGCATGGAGTTCAGGTACAGATCAGCCATGATTTCATAGAATGGCAGAACAGGCTCGAGGGGCTGAATGGCCTACTCCTGTTCCTATGTTCCTATTTCAATCAAACAATGAACATAGCTGCTCAGCCTCTCCGATCTTACAAACCCGCTGAGCACCGATCCCGTCACTTTGTGTTTTTGCGCAGGGGAAGAATCACTGACTATTTTTGTGGACAAGCGAAAGCTAAACAAGAAGTCAGAGCTCATCAACGGTTCGACTGTGGGCTTGGATTCGCTTCACCAGCTGGCTGCCTCTTATTTCATCGATCGAGAGAGCACACTGCGCCGGCTGCACGAGATACAAATTGCATCCTCGGCTATCAAGGTAATTATACCTTCCAAAATTCACCCTCCCCAACCCCCCCCCCCCCCCCACACGCACACACACACACTGCTCTCCTCCACTCACCTGGACTTTGAGCTCACTGTTTAAGCTGATGCTCCAATGCAATGCTGGGGGTGTGCTGCATTGACAGAGGTGCCATTCTTTGGATGAGATGTTAGCCAGGTTCCCGTCTGCCTGTTCAGGTGGATGTTAAAGATCCCGTGGCTCTATTTGAAAATAGAGGGGAGTTTCTCCTGGTGTCCTGGCCAACAAATAGAATTGGTCACTCACTTTGTGGTTAAAATAATAATAATAATCCTTGCATTTGATATAGCACCTTATCACGTCATCTTAAAGCGCTTCGCAAGATATATTGTAAAGTGGATTGACTATATTTTTGTGGGTGAAACGTAAATATCTGTAAAATTACCGATCTTAAGGTGGATTTTAAAAGGAGGGGTAAACTGTCAAGTATCACAGAGTCTCGTATAATAATAAGAATAATAATAATCCTTTTGTTTGGTATAGTGCCTTATCACATTGTTGAGACATATCAAAGGGCTTCACAGAATATATTGTAATGTGGATTGACTGTTATGTTTTGTGGCAAAAACAGGGCAGCCAATTGCGCACAGCAGTGCCCCACAAACTCTGGTCCACGCCTTTATCACCTCAAGGCTGGACTATGTGAACTCTCTCCTCGCCGGCCTTCCCGGCACCTCCCTCCACACTGCAGGTCATTCAGAACTCTGCAGCTCGTGTACTGTCCCACACCAGGCTTCGGGACCACATCACTCCCACCCTCCCTCGCCTCCACTGGCTCCCCATCCCCCAGAGGATCGAATTCAAGATCCTCATCCTCACCTACAAGGCCATTCACGGCCTTGCTCCCTCTTACCTCTCTGACCTACTATCCCCCTACCTACCTGCCCGTACCCTCCGTTCCTCTGGCTCCGGTCTGCTCCACGTCCCCCGCCCCAACCGCCCTACCATCGGTGGTCGGGCCTTCAGCCTCTCAGCCCCCAGGCTCTGGAACTCCATCCCCAGTGCCTTCGCCGCTTCCTCCCTTTCCTCCTTCAAGGCCGGTCTGAAGACCTTTCTCTTTGACCGAGCCTTCAGCTCCCCTCTCGACTCTCTTCCCCTCCTCGCTCCCTCCCTTCCCTCCCCTCACCCTGACCATTTCCCCCTCCTCGCTCCCTCCCTCCCCCTGACCATTTCCCCCCTGCTCGGGTCATGACCCAACTGTGCAGCGCCTTGGGACGTCCTCCTGACGTGAAAGGCGCTTTATAAATGGAATCTTGTTGTTGTTGTTGTTGTTGCTTCCTCCCTTTCCTCCTTCAAGGCCGGTCTCAAGACCTTTCTCTTTGACCGTGCCTTCAGCTCCCCTCTCGACTCTCTACCCCCTCCTCGCTCCCTCCCTTCCCTCCCCTCACCATTTCCCCCCTGCTCGGGTCCTGACCCAACTGTACAGCGCCTTGGGACGTCCTCCCAACGTGAAAGGCGCTCTATAAATGGAATCTTGTTGTTGTTGTTGTCATGGACTGAGTGACCAAATTTATTATTTTTTTTTTGGAGGGAATATTACCTGCGCAAAACGATCCAACCATCGACTAACACCTGGGTTCTTGCTAGGTAAACAGAGGCATGTGGAGTAAGGAAACTTACCCTCAGTTTCGTTCCACCTGGAAATTAAACCCGGGTCTCTTGCTTATATGAGTTGAGCGCTCTTATGCACTACGCTTTGGGACTCCACAAAAACTTAAACAATGGGTTCAAATTTTGTGGCATTTCACAACACGTCACAATTATCCCAGTAACAGGCAAATGCTCTAACCACTTAAGTAAGGGTTAAATCGTCTGCAGTGTCCTTGCCAGGTCATTGACTAAGAAACCGAGGCTTGCTCACGGAAGAAAATATCAACGAATGGAAATCAGCACTGGCTCCTCATGCTTTGAAGCTGCAAGGGGTGAGGTGGGGGGGGGGGGCGGTTGTAACAGATGCACCTGATCCCGGCCCCCCCCCCAAGGGACACACTCTCTCTGGGCCATTTTCTGGTGACCTAGTTAATTCTCACTGTCTTTTGCTTAGTAATGATGTGACAAAATGGGCCAGTTGGATTCCTACCAGAGTACAGTCTGCAGCTGTAGTCTGCTGGTGTTACTGACTGAAAAGTCTCCGGTAATTTTTCACGTTTCCAGCCACAAGGAACACGAGACCACCCTCACTTTTCTAGGTGTATCGCCTGAGAGTGACTCTTGATTGTGGCTACATAATAGTCCTTGTATTTTGATATAACGCCTTATCATGCCGTTGAGTCGTCTCAAAGCCCTTCACAGAATATACTGTAAAGTGAATTGACTGTATGTTTTGTGGGCAGCAGCTACATAGCAGTGACCCATAAACAGTGGATTGGGTGACTAAATTATTATTTTTTTACCCCGGAAAGCGATCCGCCAATCGACAAACAACCAGTTTCCTTCTTACTGCTAAGTAAACAGAGGCATATGGAGTAAGGAAACTTTCCTAAGGTTTTGCCCTAGCCAGCAATCAAACCCAGGTCCTTCCATTTGCAAGGCGAGTGCTCTAATCAATATGCTACAGGACTCCACTAAATATTGCACATGGATAGTGATGGGGGGAGAGGGAGAGAGGTGATGACCTTCTGACGAGATGTTAAGCCAAGATCCCGTCTACGTGTTACAGTGGACGTCAAAGAGAAGATGCGACGGATATCCTAACTGATCTGTCGTTTATACCACGACTGTTTGTGGGTGAATCCTGGGCGCACATTGGCAGCCACATTTGCCTACAAATAAATAGTAATCTTTGCATTCGGTACATTCAAGTCAGGAGGAATTCAAGTCAGGAGGATGTCTCAAAGCGCTTCACTGAGCCAGGCTGACACACAGTCACTACACTTGAACACGATTGCCTGGAAAGGTTTGACTTTAATCATGCTAGACTGAATGTGAGGGTTATTTGACATGAGATCAGGCTAGTTTTTTTTCCCCATTGAAAAGGTAATCACAGTGACAACCATCGGAGACAAAGTGAGTTATTCCTTGCTGTTATTGTGCATTATTATTGGACTGGCGGGGAGGATTAAAATGGGCAATGGAATCGGGCTGTCATGCTCCATCATCATGTCAGCCTCTGTGAGAATGCAGCACCTTGTCTCTCAGGGAGCAAACTAATAGCTGCACAGAATAATTGAATCCCTTCAGGACGGAGAGACCTTTGCAGAATTCGAACTCGAGGCTCCACGGAGCCTGAAATGGAATTGGTGACGTTCACTGCCTCATATGCCTGTCAGACACGGTGCTGCGGGTTGGAGCAATTTGAGGGGAGGGTGTCGGGTGCGATGCGGGGAATGCCAGCCCCTCGAAGATAGTAAAACCATCAAGAGAAAAATTGTTCAGCGTAGATTTTTGGGGGTCAGCCAGGTATCTGACGCATGCAGAAATCCATCACTGTGCTTAAGAGTATCCAAACCAAACTGAGAATTTCATGCACCCACCTTCCAGAGATAAATTGTTGGAAAGGAATGCTCGCTCTTTCCTTGAAGGGACACATCCTGCGTGCCTAATTCCGAAAATTATTAGGCGCAGGTTGGCCAAGACACTTAACTCCCTCTACATGCTTTTAGCTGGTTAGGTTCCAGCAGTTACTCCAATGCACACTCTCGGGTCCCCATGCAAAACTCGATCTGGTTTGAATACTCTTCCCTTTCTTTTCAACAAACAAGGTGAGGTAAACGCTGACATAATGTGCAAGAACTCCTGATAACTCGTCGCTCCAAGGGTAAGGGGCTCAGTGACGAATTATCAGGAGTGGCAAGTATGTAAATAAATGCGGTCGGGATATTGACAGCATGATGAATTAAGTGGTAGTGATAAGTTAAGCCAGTGTCGAGTTATCAGGTGGTGGCTGCTGTTGTGCCATCTGATGGAGTAGCGTAATGAACAGTTATTATCGATGGCTTTACGGAATGCACCCTTTTAGAGTACCGTGAGCAACTGATAACTTGATTTGAATTCCCTCTGCCAAATTGAATTAAAATTGACCAACTTGATGTTTTTTTTTCTCTCTCGCTCTCGAGAAGCCATGCCGAGAAAATGAGATTCATTAAGCCCCCGTTTTCCCTTCCATTGCGCAGAGAAGGCAACGGACAAATCAATGAATCAATGAAAGACAGGGATCGCTGTGAAAGTCATTCATCACTCACAGAGCAAGAGCATTGTCCCGTGGCAGTCACAGCGCTGGCATAGATACACATCAATGCCCATTGACAGGTCTGAACAGCAGCACTGGTCCACAAGGCATTCCAGCGCTCTCCTACAGACACTTGCGTCCCTCTAAGATGAGGGACCCTGTAAACCTCATGGGCTTGTATTCCCTTGACTTCAGTAGGCTGGTAGGTGATCTGATTGAAGCGTGTGTTTTTTTTTTGGTCAGCCAGATGGATGTCTGACACATGCAGAAACGCATCACCAGACTTAAGAGTATCCAAACCAAACCAAGAATTTCTTAAATTTGCACCCTGCATAACTAGTTCCGTAAAGTATTAGGCGCAGGTTGGCAAGAGCCCTCAGTGACTGGTCTGCTCTTCCAAGTCCTGCCAATGAGCCAGACTGGCTGTGCTGTCATCAGCAGTGCCTTGGAATACTGTGGTCCCTCCTGGCTCAGGAACCGGACTACCGAGACCAGAGCAGAGGGCGAGATTATGCACAGGTAGAGCAGCAGACGGGAATACATTCTAAAGAGAGAAAGACCACGCAGTGAATATACAAAGGGTGGAGGTACATGAGCAATTAAAAGCTCATTTGGAGAGCAGAAAGCAATTAGAAAAGCTAATGAGATTCAGGGATTTAGCGCAGGAGGTCTGGAATATAAAAGCAAAGCAACAGAACTGCAATTACACCGAACGCTGGTCAGACCACATTGCAACCACTGTGCTCAGTTTGGAGGCACCCCTCTTTGGAAATGATGCTCCATACTTAAGAGGACATCAAGCAGTTCACCCAGGTGAACATGGGGAGCGAAAGGTATTTGTCTTGCTGAGAGGATGGGTAAATTTGGGTTATCTTCATTGTAGAAAGGGCATTTTTAGGACAGACACCCGGAAGTTATTCTTTACTCAGAGAGGGAATCATGACTGGAACAGGTTGCCAAGAAATATGGTTGAGGCCAGGACACTGAGACTCATTTACAAAGCTGCTTTCCATGCCATGATTTGGGGAGGATGAATGGAAGAAAGGGTGAGTATTTTGCAAGAATGAGATCAGATGGAGATTCGTGGAGTCTCGAAGCATAACGGTTAGCGCACTCGTCTCACAAGCGAGAGGATCTGGGTTTGATTTCTGAGCAGGGCAAAACCATAAGCAAGTTTCCTTACTCTGTTTACCTGGCAATAAGTAGGAACCTGGTTGTTAGTCGGTTGGCAGATCACTTTCTGGGAGCAATAATCCCTTTTTGTTTAAAAAAAGTCGCTCAATCCATGACTGTTTGTGGGACACTGCTATTTGCAAGTGGCTGCTGCGTCTTGACAACAAAATCCACCTTCACTCCACTTTGCAATCTATCCTGTGAAGCGCTTTGAGACGTCTCAATGACATGATAAGGTGCTATATCAACTTCAAGGGTTATTGTTTTTATGGACCGAAGGGCCTTCTCTAACCAAACTGATCTTGCGAGGAAACAAGGCGTCAGCTAACCGTCATGCCTCAAAGTACTTGTCGCGCTGAGTGAGCGACAGCTGGACTCCACAGCGTTGCAAATGATCGCTCAAAGCACAAACGCTAGGAGTTCATTTCTTTTCAAACAACACATACGACCAGTCATGCAGAGAGATAAATCCTCACTCGATGATTACATTTGCTTGACAAATAGTACAAGCAATTAAAATTGAAAATTTCTCCCCCCACCCCTACCCCCCCCACATGCACGCACCTTCCTCCTCCTCCTCCTTCCCAATCACCCGCTCCCACCACGAAAAAAAAAGCAACATGGATTAATTTGCACCTCTTAAGCGCTGATAAATGGAACTGTTTTTTTCCGTTCTTGCAAGACTCAGTCACGATACAGTCACAGTGACTGATGGAAGTTGATGAAATCCTTACCACCAACATCAGGGAAACGCAGGCAAACAGATTGATGGGTTGTAAGATTGGTAACTCTCTTGAGGATGGATGGGAAGGTGGCAGGCATGAAACATTAGTGGGTAATATATCATGGTGGGAAGGTAAAGAGAAAAATAAAAAGACAAGTGTTTTCTTGTGCTCCGAAGAATTAATACGACATTTGGCAATCTTAAGAGCTTCGCTCTCTATTGACTGAGCAAAGTAAAGTGCTGTGAGGAATTAACAGCCACAAGTCATAAATGATGGACGTTTGTGATCAATGCACCTTGCATGCAGCAGAGTGATCAGACATTTCGTTGAAAAATGCGTGTGCTCTGCATTGTCAGCCTGGGTGCAGTGGTAGCACTCTTGTATCTGAGTCAGAAGATTGTGGGTTCAGGCCCCACTTCGAAACTGACACTCCATTGCACGTTAGGGTACGTTGCATCGTTCGAGGTGCTGTCCTTTAGATGAGACGTTAAACCCAGGTCACGTTCATAAGAACATCCAGACCAAACCGAGAGTTCTCTGAGTACCGTTTACAAGTGGAAATTCCTGTGTTTGCAATGCACATTTTCTCCCCCAAAGGGACACCCCCCACCCCCACTTACCTAATTCCGTAGACTTTCAGGCACAGTAGAAATGAGGGAAAAGTTATAATGTGGCAACTAACAAACTTTTGTTTATCGCCCTCGTCGCCCAGGTAACGGAAACCAGGACCGGTCCCTTGGGATGCAGTAACTACGACAATTTGGACTCAGTCAGCTCGGTTCTGGTGCAAAGCCCCGAAAACAAGATCCATTTCCAAGGTAAGTCTGGAGTGAAAGCTGCTGGTTCCTAGTTCCTGTTAGATAAACATAGGTTGTTAGTCAATTGGGGGATCCAGGGGGCTAATAATCCCTCAAAAAAACGCGACTGTTTGAGGGACACTGTTGTGAGCAATTGGCTGTCATGTTTCGCCTGCAAAATACATAGTCAATCCACTTTACAATATATTTGATGAAGCGCTTTGAGATGTCTCGACAACGTGATAAGGCTCGATGTCAAATTCAAGGATTATTATTTATCATTCGCCAGCTGAAACTCCCAGTGCATCATATCCAATACAGAACCCTTGCTCTCTAATGTGTTTTTGTAGTCAAAGAAGCCTGGTAGATACATCAAGAATGGGATTTTGATTTCCCACAATCTGTTGCTCAGAACGAAAGCAGCAAATGCTAAATTTTAGGAGACCATTTGTGTCCTGCAGGAAGCCTGGCTCATCGGCAGGATCTGGAAGGGCAGGCTAGTCACTGAGTGCAGTGAATCATCGCACTCAGCTCCTGTTAACCCTGCAACCAAAGCCCTAATGGGTAGGTCTATCCTCGCTGGACAAGCAGTGGGATAGCTTGTCAGACAGTCCTATCGATGGCAAGCTATGCAGTTTTAGCTGGTTAGACTCCAGCAGTTACTCCCAACCTGCGCCTAATATTTTCTGGAATTAGATAAGCAGGAGGAGACCCTCCAGGGAGAGAGTGCACATTCCATTCCACCAATCTATCCCTGGAATTTCCATGGGTAGGCGGGATGCATGGAACTCTCTTTGATTTGGATGCTCTTAAGTATGGTGACAGGTTTCCGCATGTGTCTGACCAAAAAAAAAGACATATTTTTACTCAGCCCAGCGAGTGGAAAAGCGAAATGAGTGGGTGGGCGAGTGGTGCGGTAAGAAGGCTGATTTAGAGCCTGGCTAGACTGCACAAGAACCAATTATCACAAGGCAAAGTCACTGAATCCCCTTGGATGAGATGCTCTCAGAGTGCAGACACTGACTCGTATAAATCAGCAGGCCTGACAATTATACACTTTTAAGCATGCGTGAAATTCGCTCCCCACTTCCCGCTGTGCCGTCCGTCATGTCCCTAATGCCTTTCTGTTCTGAGAGTTTGCAGTGGCTCTGAGGACTGTAAATTATTGTGCTGTTTCAGCCAGTCAACAAGATGAAGTAAATATCTGTTTCCTTGCACAAGTAGGTAAGTTCATCTCGATGGAACTAGGCTTTCCTCCACCCATAATAGTTACAATAATAAATAATAATTGCTTTTCAACACGTATCAAAATGCTTCGCAGGTAACTGTTTGCAAGTGAAGTGACTGTATTTTGTAGGCAAATGCAGTAGCTAATTTGCACACAGCAAAGTCCCACAAACAGCTATGAAGTGATTGATTGATTGATCGATCGATCAATCGATCTATTTACTTGGAGGATCGTGGGCCAGGAAACCGGGAGAAACTCCTTTCTCAACAAATTGTGTCACTTTGAGTTCTTTAAATTGCAACGACAGTTTACATTTTATATAGTGCCATTCATGTTGGGAAGGTGATTCAACGTGCTTACACCTGAACAGGGAGTTGGAATCACACAGTTTAAGATGACATTCCGATGCAGTGCTGGGGGTTGGGGGCAGTTGCAGTTCTAGCAGATGTTAAAGATCCCATGGCACTATTCAAAAATGGAAGGGAGTTTCTCCTGGTGTTCTGGCTAACAATCCCCCAAAATAAAAATGGTCACTCATTCCATGGTTGCTTGTGGAACATTGCTGTGGACAAATTGGCTGCCACACTCGCCCACAAAATTCATAATCACTCGACTTTACAGTAAATCCTGTGAAGCACCTTGAGACGTTTCGTTGATGGAATAAGGAGTTATATCAAATGCAAGGAATATTATTATCGTCATTGTCTGTCCAGTTCATTTTAAAACGTTGGTATGATCTTTGCCTCAACAATCACTTGTGACAGAATATTTCGTGTTCCAGCAAAGCTCATTGTGAAAAGAATCTTTCTAACCTGCGCCTTAATCCCTTTCCATGTTGCTTCTGATCTTATGACCCCTCTTGCTACCAATTTACCAACCAGTGAGAATAATCTTTCATCATCTAAGCAGTAGGAATGATTTGGGATCAATATTTACCATCCGATCTATGCTAACCTGTCCCTGGAGCATATTTTCACACACAAACACTTGACATTGGCCAAAGATTACAGTGTAAAAGTTACTCAAACAATAAAACTGTTATTCGCTGTTTGGGGGTGGGGGGGTGAGTGGGTGGTCGGAGGGTCGAGTAAGTGGTGTCTCCCTTGAGCTGAGCTGGCTGCAAGGTGATGTGTCTGGCAATGGAATGTGAGAATCGAGCCAGATGTGTGGCGGTCTGGGTAATCATAATATTAATAATAATAAACCTTGCATTTGGTATAGAGCCTTTTCACATTGAAAGATGTCTCAAAGTGCTTCAGAGGTTTACTGCGAAATGGAGTGACTGTGTATTTGTAGGCAAACGCGAAAGGATAATTGCACACAGCAATTGTCCCACAAACAGCCATGAAATGAATTAAAATAATTAACTGTCTCTGACCTTGTTCTTGCAGGCCTGCAGATCATTCTGCCCGAGTACCTGCAGGAACGCTTTGTACAGGCTGCTCTGAGCTACATCGCCTGTAACTCCGAGGGGAGCTTCGTCTGCAGGGACTTCGACTGCTGGTGCCACTGCACTGAACAGTTTCCAGAGTGCAACTGCCCCTACATGGACATCCAAGCTATGGAGGAGAGTCTGTTGGGCATCACGGAGAGCTGGAGCAGCTATAACAAGGGGTTTGAGGAATCAGGTGAGGACGGAGTTCATTTCAGCGCCGAAACCTTCCAAGGTCCCTGGCTTCTCTCTCAAAGCTCTCTTCACTGTTTTATCCCCAGTCTGTATTTCTCTCTCCCATTCATTCAATTTCTCTCATTTTGTCTTGCTCGCTCACTTCAATTACCCACTCACCTACTTACTCACCCACTTATTCACCCACCCACCAGCCGGTAAACGCAAACGGCCTGGCTCACACAATAATAAACATGACACGCAGCTCCCAGACTCTTCATTATATGGACGAAATATCAATAATCTCTCAGGCAGCAACATTTTGCAATTATTATTCTTTAATTCTACAGATTCATATGTTAACATAAACAGTCCAGAGCCCAAATTAAGTCAGAGAGAAAGAATAAGTATTAAGTATAATATGCAAGAGAGAAAAAAAATAACACAGCAAAATTTACCAGGTGTTCAGAATGTAATTTTAGAATGTCACAATTCAGAGCTCTACACAGATGGTCTCTGTCTCTTTCTCAAGCAATGCAACTCTCACACTTTCCTCTTTCTCTCTGTCTCTTTTTCTGTCCTCTTTCTCTTTCTCTCGTTCACCTTCTCCAGTTCTCTCCTCTTTCTCTCTCTTTCTTATCTTCTCCTTTCTCCCTTCCCCGCTTTCTTTGTCTCTCTCTCGCGCTCTCTCTCTCTCTCTTCAAGTCCAAGTCGTGCATTAAATCATCAGTTGTTTTTCTCTCATAACTTTTAAGAAAATTGTTTCTCCTTTAGCTTTAAAATTCTTGTATTTTTCCAGATACTGTCACATGACCTTTACAGCCCACCTGAACAGGCAGACAAGACCTCAATTCATCTAAAAGATGGCACTTTCCCAGCATTGCACAGGGATTAAACCGAGGTCTTGTCTGCCTGTTCAAGTAGACATTAAAAATCTCACTGCACGATTCGAAAAGCAAAAGCAATTGGTCGCTCACTCTTTGTGGAAAATTAGCTGCTGTACTTGCCAACAAAATACACAGTCCCTGCCCTTCACAGCAATTTATGCAGCATTGTGAAACAGTTTGACATTATAGATGGTGCATCATTTGTGCACTCGTCCTATATTGGCTTTGCATAATATATGCATCTTTTCACATTCTGTGTCTTCCTCCTTGCACTGTCTATTCGGGCCCACTGGGTCACGCAGAGGAGTTCAAGGTCTTCCTGAAGAGGTTGCCGGAAGACTATTTCTTGAACACATCCACCATCCTGCAGCTGTGGACCATGGATTTTAGTCTGCAGCACCGCTACAATCAGCTGGAGACCAACTTGAAGGTTCTCTTCAGCAAAGCCCAGAAGACCATCCGCAAGCTCTTCAGCCTAAGTAAGCGATGCCAGAAGCAACCAAAGTTCGTCCTTCCCAGAGAAAGGTAGGAGAAAGGTACACCATATTCACCCACGGATTGTGATGATCGTGCCAATACGTCACGTAGAGTTGAAGGGTGGATGATGATGGGAGTGGGGTGGGTGATGATGGTCCACCCGTAGCATAGTGGTTAGCACGCTCGCCTCGCAAGAGATAGGATTGGGTTTGATTTCTGGCCGGGGTGAAACCTCAGGAATGTTTCCTTTTGTGAAGAGTTTCGAGACTTGATAAGGCGCTGCATCAAATGCAAGGCTTATTATTAATTTGGGAGCTCATTTTCCTCATCCGTCCGTGCTTCTTAAGAAGAAATTTAAGGTTAATTTAAGGTTGGACTGAAGAATATTTGCATCTTAAAAGTTTTCAGTAAAATGGGCTTAAGGCTGAGATGGGAGGCATTATGTTTGTGTGTTGTTGCGAATGCAGTAAAACTCGCATAAGTCGCATCAGTTGAGGCGATAACATTTAATGTGAATGACTCGAAGTCCAAGTTGCAGGCAAACTGTATAAGTCACAGAAAATCTGATCTAATCAATAATCAACACTGCGCATGTGTAATGCAATGCAGCCGGTAAGTCCGCATGCGGTGATAGGTTAAGACTATATGTTTCCCGCTATTCAATGCAGCCGGCCAGTAAGTGCGCATGCAACGACGGGTCAGGACATCAGTTTCCGCGATTCAAGTACTCTGTAAGCGCGGGAGTAATAATTATCCTTGCATTTGATTTAGCGCTTTTCACGTCTTCTAGACGTCTCAGAGCCCTTCACAGAATGAACTGTAAAGCAAATCGACTGTATATTTTATGGGCAAAACACGGCAGCCAATTGCTCACAGCAGTGCTCCATCAACAGTTGTGATTGAGGGATTATTATCAGAAGTGTGGAGTCAGGTAACTCGCCCAAGGTTTCGCCCTGCCGGGAAATCGAACCCGGGTTTCTCGATTGCGAGGCGAGCGCTCTAACGTCTGTCAGTTTGGGAAGGGATTAATGTGAGTACCGTAAAGAAACCTAAGTGGATTTGATAGGGAATCGAATGGGACTCGGGTGCACGTACAATGTAGGCGATTATACGATTCATAAAGATAAGACGTAGGCAGGTTTTATTGTAGAATGCTACCACTCTCTCTCTCTGTCTCTCTCTATCTCTCCCTCCCTCATGGCAGGTCTGTAACCTACTGGCTGAACCAGGTGCAGTCGGTCTTGTACTGCACGGACAACGGTCTGGCCGGGGTCTTCTCGGAGGAGACGAGGAGCTGCACCTGCCCTTATGACCAGGCCACGTGTCAGAAACCCGTGCCGTGCGCGGTGGGGGAGGGCCCCGCCTGCGTCACGTGTGCCACCGACAACCGGACCCGCTGCGGCGGCTGCAACGTGGGCTACACGCTGGGTCAGGGGCTGTGCAGGCCGGAGGTGGCCGACAGCACCGAGCAGTACCTGGGCTTTGAGACGGAGCAGGACCTACAGGACCTGGAGCTCAAATACCTGCTCCAGAAGAGGGACACCAGGATCGTGGTGCCCGCCATCTTCATCAGCAACGACATGCGGCTCAACAGCTGGTTCGACCCGTCCTGGAGAAAGAGAATGCTCCTCACCCTCAAGAGCAACAAGTACAAGGCCAACTTTGTCCACATGCTACTGGGCATCACCATCCAGATCTGCCTGACCACCAACAGCACCTTGGAGCCCGTGCTGGCCATCTACGTCAACCCTTTCGGGGGCAGCCACTCGGAGAGCTGGTTCGTGCCGGTCAGCGAGGCCGGCTTCCCCGACTGGGAGAGGACTAAGTTGGACGTCCCTTTGCAGTGTCACAACTGGACCCTGATGCTGGGCAACAAATGGAAGAGCTTCTTCGAGACGGTCCACATCTACCTGCGCAGCCGCATCAGGTCGAGCGGCAACGAGAGCATGTACTACGAGCCCCTGGAGTACATCGACCCCTCCAGGAACCTGGGCTACATGAAGATCAACAATGCCCAGGTCTTTGGCTACAGCATGCACTTTGACGCCGATGCCGTGCGAGACCTCATCCTCCAGCTGGACTATCCATACACACAGGGATCCCAGGACTCTGCACTGCTCCAGCTGTTGGAGATCCGCGACCGAGTCAACAGGCTGTCCCCCCGCGGCCAACGCCTGGACCTCTTCTCCTGCCTCCTCCGCCATCGGCTCAAGCTGTCGGCCAGCGAGGTGGTCAGGATCCAGGCTTCCCTCCAGGCATTCAACGCCAAGCTCATCAACTCTGTGGAGTACGAGACCACCAAACTATGCAGCTAACCCAAGAGTCTCAGCACAACGTGAGGACCAGCCAGGCTTCTCAGCAAGGAGTTGAGAATTGAGGGAGGGGAGGGAGGGAAAGGGAGGGGGGGAGGGAGGGAAGTGGGGGTGGGGGGGGTGGGCAAAGGGATCGTTCGGTCTTACTTTTTTTGTGTGAAAATCCCACTTTCATCGGTCTAATCGTGCATTGACCCAGCGTTGACTCCGGGCGCTATTGAGCTTTCATTTTGTAATGTCCAATGTCGAGGAGGGCAGCGATTCTTACAGGGGAGAATGGGTTGAAAGCTTTTTTCCCTCTTCAAACTCCTTCCTACCCCCCCCCCACCCCCCCCCCCTCCGCCACCACGACCCTATCCCCGGCAGCTGAGGTCCAGGCAAGGATCACAGCATTCATTCCAAGAAGCTTGTGGGAGAGACAAAGAGAGCGCGTTTGCTCCTGAGGGAGGAGGAGAGGGGGAGAGGGTCGATATCCAGAGGAGACATTGGTTGCCCCCAAGGCTTGGCGCTTGCCAATGGCAAAGTATCTTCTCGGTGGGAGGGGGGGGGGACGAACATGTTTTAACATTGGTCGTCAAGGGACTAACATTTTTATCAACGGGATTGTTTATACAGTAACAATAACATGGCGTGATGTGGGCACTCAGTGATGCTTCCTTATGTAGACGAACACTGTTGTAATACAAAAAAAATGGCCTTTCAGAGTCTTTTTAAAAATAAATAACTAAATGGAGGGGGGGCAGTGGGGGTGGGGTAGAGAGGCCTCTGTCTGCTTGTTCCGCTGTCCCCCGATGAGCTGCCTGACGACACACACAAACACGACTCAGTGGCGGGCCGAGGAAGAATGACTGTGCGTCTGTGCTTTGTGCTTGTGTTGGCTTTGACCCGGCCCTTCTGTGCATGGTTTGACCTTTTTGGTATTGAATAGGGGGCAAGTTTAACCTTTCCCCTGATCCTCCGCCCTCTGCGGACCCTTGCCCAGTACGTGACAGCCTCGGCTGGTCACTGGAGCCCGCCGCAGTCCGGACGATAGATAATTGGACACGTTGATCTGTTGTGGAGCAAGAAGAGACTTTTAAAAGTTATTGTTACTCCGTGTGTGTGGGGGACAGGAGCCATGGGTTTGGGGATAACAAGAAATTGTATTTGCACAGCGCCTGTTAATGCAGAACAACGTCTCGGAGGGCTTGACAGGAACGGAGTTGGTCACTGAGCAGGGGAGAGGGGAGGGCTGGCCATAGACCCGGTCGAAGAGGTACTGTTTGAGGCAGGATTTTAAAGGGAACCTCCACTCTCCCGCTGCCTTAGAAGGATGAGCACTTTCACACAGTGAGGAAAAGTCATTTGTATATTTGTGGGATGACTGTTTAAAGGTACAGTATGCTGTTTAACGCTGCAGTGCACTGCTGTTTTTGTAACGTTTCTAATGACAGATTCTCTGGCTCCATTGTAAATTGAAGAGAGTGTACAGAACCCTGTGTGTATTTGGTTTTCTTGCTGATATTATCTAGGGTTGGCAACCGCCTACGTTTTTTGGTTATTAAATCTGGATGAAAATCCACGTTTGGAACCCTGGGGAAATTGTCGTGTGTCCTTGTGTCTCAGAGTCCTTCCCCTGCTCTGTGTCAGAGTCCCGTAGCGTAGAGGGTAGCGCACTCGCTTCGCAACTGAGAGGACCCGGGTTCGATTCCCGGGCGAAGCAAAACCTTAGGCAAGTTTCCTTTCTTCGCACGCCTCTGTTTACCTAGCAGTAAGTAGGAACCCGGTTATTAGTCAATTGGTGGATCGCTTTCCAAGGGTACTAATCCAGCCCCCCCACTCCCCTCCAAAAGAAACTATTTGATCACTCAATCCTCAACTGTTTGTGGGACACTGCTGCTTTGTGCAATCGGCTGCCGCACTTTGCCCACAAAAACACACAGTCAATCCACTTTGCAGTATATTCTGTGAAGCGCTTTGAGACATGATTAGGCTAGGAATTTCAGGAAATATTGTTCCGTGCTGTAAAAAGCTCCTTGTGTTAGACTTTTACCTCCAACCTTAGAGGTTGATCGAGATTGAATTGAAAAATCCATTCTCTTTACTCTGAGGTTACAATTTTAATTCCGAGTTGAACGCAGTTAAAAAAAAAACACACGCTATGTTTCACCAGATCAGTGCAGCCACTCAAGGGAGGAAAGCAAACAATGGGAAAAACCATGGGAAAAAGCTTGCCTTTCTAGCCATTTTTCATGGAGATGCGTTGAGCACTCCTAATTCAGTTCGTAAATCTAATATCCTAATCCCGAGGCACAATCAATATTTGGTATGCCACTTGTTTACAGTGGTGGTGGGCACAATAATAATAATAATCCTTGCATTTAATATAGTGCCTTATCATGTCCTTGAGACGTCTCAAAGCACTTCACAGGATATACTGTAAAGTGGATTGACTGTGTATTTTGTAGATGAAATGGCATTCTGGAAGAATTTTTTTCAGCTGGTGAATGTGTGGAAATATGTGGAAACCATCACCATGCTTAAGAATATCCTAGCTAAACTGAGAGCTCCGTGTTCTGGAAGGATGAGATCAGATAATGCAAACCGATCTTGTGATCTGGTGAATCGTGACTGGACTCTCTTGAACAATGTTTTGTTCTTCAATACACCATCTGACAGCGTCCTTTACAACTACAGCAGCAATTCCAACCTTTTGATATTCTGAGCCCCTGTTCTATTCGCCTTTGACTGTTTTGTGCCCCCGAGAACCAACTTTTAGCAGCTTATCAACAATCAACAACAACCACGACCATTTAAACGACATCCTTCATGCGGGATCGTGTCTCGGAGCGCTTGAAGGAAGAAAATCATTTGTTTGCAGCAAGCCTGCATAGCCTAAATCCCAAATTCCCAATGGGAACACCAGCAAATGTTGAGAAATCACCTTAATCCCAGTGTAAATACCAGCAAACACCTTACTGCCGAGTAACTGGGGTATTGTGTTGGGGAGAAGGGGAACAGTTGGAAATCACCTAGCTTCTTTGTTACAGCTGTATATTCTCAGTTTGACCAACAAGTAAATGCCCTCATCCCTCGCCGTGTGCAAATAGTGCTTTGCTGTGAAAGGCCACAGTCACCATGCCGATACGCCTTGCTGGATGGAGTAAGATGGTCTCCGAATCTCAAACCAGATGCAGGTCTGAATCTTAAATTTCTCTCATCTTTATTCTCTCCTTGCTCTTTTCTCCCTTAACCTCTCCTCTCTCTCCTTCCTTACTCCCTCTCTACTCTCCCCTATCTTTTCTCTCCACTCTCTCTCCTCCCATCCCTCCCTCTCTCCGCTCCTTTCTCTCTACTCTCTTCTCTCCTCTCGAAAGCATTTGAAAGCTTCTATTTGAGGCAGCCTCAGATCCCATTTCATGGATGCCTGCTGCTTTCTGCTTTTTAGAGAAATGGAAAAATTAATAAGATAGCGGGGGGGAAAAAACAGCAATCCTAATCCATGGGCTTTTAAGAAGCCATTACATGGAGATACCTGTAAGAACTATGAATTCTGAGGGAGCTCAGTGATTACTGAATATCTTTTTCTCTCTCTCTCTCTCTCTGAAATTGTCCTGCCCTTAACCTTCCCTTCAATTACACAGCTAAAGTTTAAAGTCACTCAGCTTTGAATTATCCGAATTTCAGATAAAGGACAGGTTTAAAGAGAAGGCGGCTTGCTGCACACTCTAAGCTGCTTGTGTGAGTCACAGACACACATGTACGCCCCCGCAAATGAAGCCAGACAATGGCACAGCGTGGTCTGCGAAAGGACGTTTTCACTCCCATCGCAGTCTTTTGAGTCCAGGTATATTGTGGTTCACAGCCCCGAAGTTTCCCATGTTCTTAACCATAAGTCCATTGTCTTGACATTTGAGGTTGTGCGGTGTTTTGGAAAATAATTCTTAATTTTTGGCCTTAGCCACCCTTCCTAGCAACCATCCAGTTCCAGTCGTTAATCACCCTCTGAGTAAAAAAACACTTTCTGGCGTCGTCTTGAAATTGTCCTTTACAATTCTAAACCTGTGTCCTCTTGTTCTACTGTTTTGTTGCATCCTAAAGTATTGATCGTACTCAATCCCATTTAAAATGTTATACACCTCTATGATAGCATCTCAGAGCGCTTCTCAAGGGAAGGGGAGTGTGGGGGCGGGGGGGGGGCTGAGGTGTGGTTAGATTCCGGGCAAGGGAGCGAGAAAGTGACTATAAGGAGCATGGTCAAAGATGTAGTTTTTTTTAAAAAAGGATTTGAAGACAGATAAAGAATATACCAGGAAAATAGAAAAGGCATTGACGCAGATATGCATGAACGCATGAATAAAGACAAGAGATATCCAGGGAAGTGAGTACAAGCTCCAGGGCCAAAAGTTGAAAGTCCTGCCCCTCGCTGTGACACCGTTCTGTGATGAAGTCAAAGAGGAGATCCCAAATTCACATGCATTTTTTATCTTGGGTACCTGTGAGAGAATTAAAGCAAAGAATGACAGGGAACATTTGTGCTCGTGCTTTTCAGGAGTTTGCTCGCAATGCAAAACTGGGGCCAGAGAGGATTGAGCCTGGAAGCCGAGAGCGGCTGATATTGAAACGGAAGAGCAGAGGGTTGAAAGAGTGAACAGTGATTGCTCTGTGCATGTTAAGAATATAAGAATTTACTAGGTGAAAGAAGACCAAGGCCCATCCAGTTCGTCTTCCACCATTCTGGCAGTCATGTATGCACGTGTCATGTCCCAAACTATATACTGTATCCCAGGATATTTTTTCCTAAAGTAAATCTTATCTAATTTGTTCTTGAAAGAATCAACACTTTCTGCTTCCACTGTTTGTTCTGAATTTACCCCTCCTTCAATCGCAGGTCATGTTCTGAAGTTCATCCACGGCACCAAAACAATTCTCTTTGGGCACCATTAATAAAGAAATAATATGATGATCATTGTCACTGCCCAGCACATGGTGCCAATTAACTTTCAACAACATGTTAAGACGCTATATCAAATGCAAGGATTATTATTATTATGACTGATCCTGGCATGGAAATACTTGATAGAGC